GGTCCCTGTGCCCAGGGGGCAGCAGGCCTGGGGTCAGGGTCAGTGCTGACCCGGCCGCGACGACTCTGGGGAGCGGTGGAGGGGCCGCTGGGGTCAGGCCCGAGCTGGGGGGTCCTGGGAGTCACAGAACCGGGACCCATCGTGTAGTCAGAGGCGCAAGCTCTCCCGACACGCTCTCCAGGCGGAGCGGGTCGGCCTCGGGGGAGAAGGGAGAGGCCTGGACACACGGGGCCAGGTCCGCACACGGAGGAAAGGCCACCAGACGATGGCCAGGGGCACGGCCAGGGGAGGGGAGGACGCGGCCGGTGAAGGACCCTGTCCGCTGAGTGATGGGCTCCGGGGAGGGGACAATTCACCAGCCGGTTCTTTCCGGATAAGCTCTTTGTCTAATTGAATCAGGTCCCGTTTTAAAAATTAAATTCCCACCCGGTTTTCCAGAAATACCCTCGGATTTGTAGGTCGCGGCTCCACGGGGCGAGGGAGGGAGCGGCCCCTTTCTGTCCCCGAGTCCGTCCGTCCGTCCGGAGGGCGGGCTCCGAACAAGAGAGGCAACTGCCCGGGACCAAAGTCAGGCAGGGACGTGGGAAATGCAGGAAACGATGAACCCCCAGGAGGAGGCCGGTGGGAGGGGCCGCCTGGGGGGGGGGGGCTGCCGCCACAGGGACCTGCAAACAGCCCCTCCCAATAAACATGCCCGCCAACAAACATGCCCCCAATAAAAATGCCCGTTCCTCCTTCCGGGCAGACAGGTGGGTCCTCCAGCCCATGAGGGAAAATAAACAGCAAAACAGCAACAAACAAAACCGCAAGCAGCACATGGACGGACGGACGGACGGACAGACGGACGGACAGACGGACGGACTGGGGCAGGAGGGCAGCGCACAGGTGGCTCCTCCGGGCACTTCTCTGCGTGTTAAGTTGTGTGAAGTGCGTGTGTGTGTGTGTGTGTGTTGAAAGCTGTTCTCATGTGGTTTCTGACATTCTTTAACGCAGTTTTGGGTCGGTGCTGACAAAGGAGCCCGGGCTTCGTCTGGGCCCAGGCCTGGCCCGAGGGGGGCGCTGTCCTGGGAGGGACCCGGTTGGATGAGGAGGCGGCACCATGGCCTCAGCTCCACGCCTCGTCCAGGTCGGGCGGGGACGTCAGGCACCAAGTCACCACCTCCTTGTGGGGCCTGCACCCGGCTCCTCCGCCCCCAGTGACAGGCCCCCCAGCGTCCTGTCCCCAAGCCGCCGCCAGTCTGGGCAGAAACCACCAAGCAGTCCCCTCGTGTTGTGTGTGTGTGTGTGGGGGGGTCCCCCAGCGACAGGAGGACTAAACTCCCGGCACAGGGCATTGGGATGGTGCCCAGGGGCCGCCAGTCTACGCACTCGACACAGAAATAAGCCCCGAAACATCCCCGGTGCC